AAGGTTAGTATTAGATCAAATATTTTCCATTGGTAAGAACCTTGAGAGCAAATTACAAGTCAAAGCTTTGAGGCTTAATAATCTTCCGTCCTTATAAATATTTAAGGCGATTTATATAAAATGGCGGGTTCCACATTTTTTCTGTCGTTAGCAGAGTTTATTATTTACGGCGGAAGTTTACGGAATCCTCTGGGCTCCGGATAAATTCCCTCATAAAATTCAAATCTGATATTAATTCCCGTTTTGTATCTGTATTTCTTGCATTATTCATTTATAGGGCGATACATCAATTTGTTACTTACAATATTTTCATTCGATATTGATAGGAATATATAAAATGTGTTGCACTAATGAGAGTCCTGCGCATGAAAGATACGAAAAAAATGTTTATAGTAATTTTAAAATACCCATTAAAGATAGGTATTTTAGAGTATTGTGCCACATTAATCTTTTCCATTCTTTCTTTATTCTTCTTTTAATGCAGATTCGCCTCTATTTTTAGCAGCAGCTATCTCAGGTGTTGTTACGGAGCCCGGTTAATTAACCCCATAAAGTAGGGGTTGCAAATTAAACAAGTGTGTGTAATAAAACCTCTCCGTGTAGTCCCGGGGGTCGTAAATTCGGCTGTGTCAACGCACCCGGCGCTGTTCGCGTTTGTATAGGTACGGGCTCGTTCAGTAAATAGTAAACATGAATTATGCTTTGGTTTACGGTTACACGATTTTATGAGTTGGGTAAGGAGTTGAGGAGTGTAAGGTATGACTGCTTTTGGACTGTATAAAAGAGCATTTAGCCAGTTAGGCAGTGCCGTAGTTCATTGATGTGACTTACTATAAGCATTAATAAATCGTCGCATCACCGCCAATTATGCGTTTTCAAGTCACTGAATGACAGCATTATTTTGTAAGTAGGTAACGTTTCGAAAACAAAGTGACTTCCATATTTCTTGAATAGGTCCTGTGTTTTTTCAAATAAACTACGATTTTCTACCATCCGTTTACGAAGAATTTACTGCGTTTCGGACTACACAAATTCCTTGTTCATTCCAAGTTGACATTGCGCCCATTCTGTAACAAAAGTCGGGTGCCTCAACATGTCTAACGAGCTAGAATTAAAATTCCTCTTTGTAGGCACAATGCAGTAACAAATAGAGGTTCCACTGGGGAGGTGTTTTTCTTCAAAGAATACATACCTACCTACTCAGTTGTCAAAAACAAAAAAGTTTACTTTTAAACGTTTGGTTTTATTCAAGGTAAAATAGAATCAACAGTAAACTGTAGAAGCAATATGTAGTTTAAAAAATCGTAGCACATATTATTACTGGTCTTTATTTCTAAAACAAGAGGACTGCAGTTATAGAGAAAGCGTTAGTTACACTTAAATAAAATGATGCCCTAAAATTACTATAAATTTTTTTATAGGAAAATACAGTAATAGAAATTATTGTGATATCGTCCATTTGCGACGACACTGTGATATATCAAAAACAGTGGTTTTACAGAAATCGACTTTTAAACTTTTGAATGACCATAACTCTTAAAATAAGGTTAGGATTACCTAATTGTGTATGAAACGTTTAAAGATTAACTATTAATGAATTTAAATATTTATAGTAAGACATAACTTTGCGTCTAAATTGATGAAATTATAGCGATTGAAAAAAAAGAGACAACTTATCACGTTATTCTAGTAAAAAATAATATTTTGAAGATGGCAAGTTCAGTTGTCACGTTGTAGATGATATAAAAAAATATATTTATATAAGTCATTATTTAGATAAAACGTTGATCTTGAAATTTTTTATTTTATTTTACTAACATTACAATCAGTAAAAATGAGGTAATTATTGGAACAGGCGAATATTTCGCTTTGCCATGTTAAATTTCACTTATAAAAATATTATCTAAGTAGACAGACAGTTGTATACATACAATATTTAAGTTCACATTAAGTTTTCTTATTCTAAAACCTAATACTTATCAAAATAAACGAAAAACTCTCAAAAGTAAAACCTTGTAAACTACTACAAAAAAACACAGTAAGAGAAACTGTACTAAGTATGTATGTATGCAGAAAAAAAAATTGTAGGTACCTACTAGGTTAGTAAATAGATGTTTTTTAACAGACTAGTTATGACAATTTAATCCTAAAACTATCAACGCAAAAATCGCCGTCTCCGGCGCATAAAATGGCAAAAAAGCGACATTTTGGTACCTTTTAGGGTCTTTTAATTTTTTATACTTATTTAAAATTAAATTTATAAAAGATATTTAAATAATGTATTAATAGTGAAAAATAACAACCACTATTATTTTATAAATAATGTAGCCATTTTATTGGCGTAGTTTTTCTGCAATAGTTATACCTATTGCAATATTATTATACAAAACAATGTTGCGCCCGCCAAAGTAAATTTGGGCAAGATGCGATAAAATTCCATCAATTGCTGATGATCTGTAATTATATTAAAACATTAAAATACCTTTTTTTGCAGAAAGCAAAACATAGCCAATACAGCTAAGTAACATTGAATAATTACATAATAATAAATAAATATATATCTGGGGTCATCCAACGCATTGCTATTCTAGCGTACTTCTACTAATAGATAATTTTGTTAGCTATCGTCTTAGATTAAGCTAATCTAAGGCTATTGTATGATAATATAAAATATTTTGCTTGTTGTGTCTGTAAAAACAGACAGTCGTATAAGTATGTTTTATTTGCACTGTATTTATAGTATTTGAACTATTCTTCAAAACGAATGTATGTTTATCAGTCTATATCTACTCATATTAGTTCCGACGTTATTGTAGCTCAAAGAGACCCTTTCACAGCGCTCGCATAGCGCTGTTAGTCATGTTGTCGGATTAGGTTGTGGAATTCCTTCAGGCAGTGCATCGCCACAAATGTTAACCTTTGCTTTTTTGCATTGCTAGTCCCCATCTGTAATGATATCTGGAGTTTAGTATTACTGTTTAGCGTATACAACGTGACAAGTAGATATACCATTCAATTTCAATAACATGTATTCTGCAATAACAGAACATCAACAAATGACCTACAACATATTTCCAATATAGGAAAAATTTTCATCATCTACAACGTTATTAGTTAAGATGTCCCGATGATACTTCGATTTTCTTACAAGAATAACGTGACATATAAATAATTTATCTTTTACTTTGCTTTTGGTTTTAGAAGAACACTGTGATAAGTATGACGTGCCACATTGTCGAATAAAATAAAAATATTTTCAAAACTTACCTTTGTCATCAATACCGCGGTATCCTCGAGATGTCACGTTTTTCTTAAAAACGAAGAGCACCTCACATCTCAAAGCGCAGGTGGCAACTGAACTGTCACAGTGTCGAAGCCAACTAGATCGCCGAACGAGCCAGCGCTATAACGTAATATTTTGTCTCTTTCTCTCATAGTATTGTTGTTTTTGGAGTAACAAATACCCTGTTTTTGGAGATAAAAGAACGCAAGATCGCGGTTCAGAATTTCGGTAAAACAAAAAATCGTATATGTCGAGATGTCACAGTGTCGTCGCAAATGGGCGATATGTTAAACATAACATTCTGCGACGGTTTTCATCGCATGAGTAACTTTCGTAGTTTCGTAGTCTCGAATGTGCGGAAGACTACTGCATATACTTCAAGTGCCCCACAGGGGACCCTTGTCCCTGTCTTATATTGTCTACTGAATTTGCTTTAATTGGTTAAGTTTACATTGAATTTGCAGAGTCGGATAAGGGTGGACAAATTAATGTTGTTTTAACATTACACCGGGGCCCACATTCTTGGAGTTGACATGTCGTAATCCATACCTCGATGCAAGCCTTTTTTATAATTTGAACATATCAAGTTAAACCGCGTAAAACATCTTTTATTTATTTATTTTGTTTAGAAAAGTTGCACGAGCATTGCAGAGTTATTACATTTGACCTGGAAAAAGGAAGGAAAAACATGGAAAATATACTAATGAAACCCACAATATGTGTGGGCATGTGTGTATTTACATTGTACCTATGTGTATATGTGCACTAAACAAAAGAAGGACGAATCGAAAATGAATCCCCAAATTCTGCGATAATAGCGGCAAAAGATTGCTTTCAGATACATCCTAGATCCCGAAGGAGATTTATTCGTCTGGTGGGGAGTGAGTTTCCCTCTGCCGAGGTTAAATGGGAATTTGCATTTTTATCTCCGACCCCAACACTGTTCTTGGTGTAGAACAAGAGGAGCTGAATGTCTTTAATTACGCGCTGTGACATTTCACACAATTTATACGCAATATACATGCAAATCGGTCCTACGGCGTATTGTCATGCCAATAATGGCTCGATTGCTTTTTTTAACGAAGTAAAAATAATTTATTGATGTTATAATGCATGTTGAGAAATTATTATTAATCAATAACTTGAATATTAATCAATTTTGACATAATACTATGTAAAATTTTTTTGTTAATTAAATTCAGTATGACGGGTAAAGTTGTCCGAGTATGTTTGAGAAAATTACTTAGTGACTTAGTTTGCACTATTCATGTTGTTCTACGGGCTTAAGCTTTGATTTGCTTATTTGAATTATCATAGAATAACAAACATATTATATTTTAAATTCCAATTAAATCTACCCGTACCAAATGTCGTCGGTCGAATAACGTTTGCTCAGAAAGTGCTACTTCACTTTTATCTCGAGAATAAACACTGCAACGATTTTCTCAAGGCACTTACAGCAAGTGGCTACGTGACAATCACATTACTAAAGCAGAAACATCCGGAACCAGCATCCGAACAATGTAACACGTCTATCAAAGTTCGGAAGGGTACGGGAGCATAATCGACACAACTAAAAGGGCGTTTAGCGTTGGACAAGTGACTTCCTTTCCCGCGGGACTCCGAGGGGTCACGCCAGGCCCCAGTGATTGCGAGCCACCTAACCAGACCACACGACCTCTACTCACGGCGGCCAAACTTTACAAATTGACCTTAATAGTGAAACTGACACGTGGTCTCTGGAAATCCTTTGAGACTCGAAGCACACCTCGGGAGCAGTCTCAGAAAAAGTTTCGCCAAGAAATTTAGTTCAAATCCAGTTTTTTGGGCCATGGATGTGGTTTCCAGTTGACAGTTTGGAAAGTTGAAATCGTCAAAATGGCTATAGAAACTTCAAGAACCCGTATAGAGTGTAAGAAGCCAGCATTGAACAATATAGTGCTATGGTGTTGCAGTGTGTTTGTTATGGTGGTGTGTGGGTACGGCTTGTATCGGCAGCACTGCCTGGAGCAGCGAGTGTTGGTGCTGGAGAAGCAGCAGCTGCTGCTGAAGGGGCTGCTGGTGAAGGAGTCGCCGGTGGAAGCTGACAAGTTGCTCAGGAGGCAGACCAGAGACGCCAATGACTGCATATGTCCAGCAGGTAAGTGTTGTCTATTAAGTTACACCAGTTTCAAAATCATGTCTGTATTAAACTCTTTATATTGATTCAATGTGTATTTTTATTGTTAAAAAAATGAATTTGTTAGTGAATTATACTAAAATTCTAAAGCAAATTCATGCGAAACCCAAAATAAAAATTTGCCTAAATTATGTATGTGAATAATGTGGGTATAAATACAACTCTTTTAATACTCCTAGAGTTACCATAACACCAAACACGAATTTTAAAAGAACGGGAAAAGGTTCAAAATAATGTAAAATTGCTATTAAAATACATATTGCATTGTGTCAATACAAACATAAGCCTTATAGAGTGACCTTAATTAAATGATTTTCGAATTTGGTCGGACACTTCGGTGGCACGCAAGCCACATCAATGCCCACCGACATACTGTGTCTCCTCCACCACTCCACGATATCCGGCTATAAACTCAATTGGGATACTACTGTCCTCAACACACTCTAGAGACAACCTTTCTGCTTGAAAAATAAGATCCACATTGTCTTCTACATCTCAGTCCTTCGGTTTTGCTGCAACGTCGAGACAAATTCGTAATGCTCTATTGTCATAGCTATTGGACGTAATGGCTCAATAAGAAGTATTGAAACGTTCTTCCAGATCAGCTATAGGCCTTTATTCAATTTCCTATACATAGATGGGATGTTGACCTCTCGACGGATATTAGAAATCTCTCTCGGAATTGACAGATTTTCAGCGATATCAAGCGTTTCCTCTTCAAATTGAACCAGTCCTCCATTTTGATGTTAATAAGATTCTCGAGGGTCATCGCCGGAATTAACTTTGATGGACGTTTTGCATCGAACAATGGTAGATTTGTGAGTTTTAAAAAATCAGGCGGCAGGGGTCGCTAATTACTTTCCTTTGTTGAAGCGCGAAATAAAGGCTTAATTGTTTGAAGTTTTCGCATCGGGGAAGTTACTTCGATCTCCTTATCTGCCGGCGCGGGCAAATTTAAGCTTCCGGGGCTGGATAGGGAAGTGCTCCAGTAATTTTATTACTCAAACTAGAATTCATTCATAAAGTTCAGCGTCTTCATTGATGAGCAGAACAAAGGGCTTACGTCAAATTCAATTCTGATTTAGATCAAGTTTAATTTTGGAGTGAAAGGGAAATTGTTAGAAGTAGCTGTACTTGAACGGTTCCGATGTTAATAATTCTAAAGAAAGAAAGAAAGGTGCCATTTAGAGTTTTCTACCGATATTACGACTTGGACATTTATGTAGGTACAGTATGGTGAATTGGTGATACTGTCACGTTTTATTAAATTGATTCCAATGTGTTGTCTAACTAAAGTAAATGAACGACGAACATGCTTTTAAAAATCGTAAAATAATTGCAAAAGTTACATTGAATAGGTATACGAACTAGGCTGGAGTTTAGTTTGGATGGAATCCAAAAATAGTACACGTACAAATTAAATGTCATCGCGTATTTGGCGTCGGAATCCTCTCGGCGGGAACATGTGTGTTCGAACTAATAAAGACATTAATCACCTTTACGAAGCGCATGCATGACTTGATTCTTTGGGCATTAATTTATCAGTCTTATTCTGAAATCATTGAATCATTTAAACATTGTTCTTCAACGATTTTACATTAGTCACGAAGTCTATTTCTATTTGCATTTGGTTCAACCTTTACCTAAAGATTATGATAAAGATATGCCGATTTGATAAATACCTGTATCTGGGGAAGTTCATGATTTATTTAAATGGTATCCGGGTAGGTAAAGTTAATCAAACAATGGATATAAATCCATTTATTGGCGTAGTTGGTGAATATATATTCGGATAAATAAGTGGACTCGAGAGAACTGTGCACAATAAAACTGATATCTTTTATAAAGCCTGTTATACATGGTAATGACTAAATAATCTGTTACAAAATGTTTGTTTTCTAGCTTCATTAATTCGTTCATTTACCTGGTAAATGTAACCTGAAAACAATTAGGAAAGTGGTTAATTTGAAGGTACACTGTCAAGTTCTCCTGTATTATATAGGATTTAAATATTGAGTGTGTATATTAGTGATGAGCAGGTACGTGCATTTATACTGAGACAGATATCTATACTTATGTAATATTCTTCTTCTTCTTCTTCTCAGTCGTTACCCTCTTGGCAGAGCTCGACCACTCTGTCAAGAGGGTAACAACTGAGAAAAAGAGTCTTCATGAGTTGTCAATTGTTGTGGGTGGATGTTGCTCGCCTTTTGATGTCTCGCCATCTTTCCCTGTTAGTGGTCAACTTAGTGCAACTGTGCGGGGGACATAACGTAATATTTAATAGGTAATTAATTATGGTACAATCACCACGACCACTCTAGCAAGAGTGTAGTGACGAAGAAGAAGAATGGTACTATCTTTCCATCTGTTCATCCTAATCTAGTCTTCCAAAGTCACAAATAGGTACCACTGAATCATAGCACGTTGTGTTAGTTACAGTTGTTCAATAGTGGACGGTGCCTTACTTCCGCATGACACCTCCGCGGGGAGCGATCCGTCGCGTTATTGTTTCACGGCGCGTTATGGCGCAAGTTTCGCAATACGCGATATTAGTTCGCTTCCGGCGCACTCGCTGCTTTTTATTTCGAACAATATTTTGTTGTTTCGGTATTATTGTCTATTGTACTTATTAGATTTGGAAAAAGTTTTTCTTAAAAGGAAACATAAAGCTCCCGTGCTTTGTAGCTTAGTGTTGTGATATTATTAAGGAGGCTGATATGGTTGATATTATTTCATTTGATAAAAGTTTTTTTTTAATAAAAACAAATTTCTACATTATCTCACTGATCCGTGAATAAACTTTACGGTTTCCTAAAATATATTTTTTTCTCATGGAAATACGTAAAATTTTCCTTTGTGAGATCCGCCTACGGCTTGATGCAATTAAGTTTCTTTTTGTTCTTTTCTTTTTATGAATCACCAATTTTAGAGCTTCCAGTGTCCTCAGATACTTTTTCTAAGTTATTTCGGAGACATAATGAAACGTGACACATTTAACTTGTGCCTAACCTGTGTGTCATCGTCGTGAGACAAAACGCAATCGGTGGGCAATATCTTTGGCAGCATGTTCGTAGGGTTGGCAAAACAGATAAACTTAAAAGAAAATAAGTAGAGTTAAGTTAATAATATGAAGTGAAATTAATAGAAAACAGGTATACTATTTATGGAAGTATCTCTATTTAGAGCAGCACGTATCCCGTTTAATGAGTTAATCTTATTTCTTTGAAAGTTTATTACAAGTTTATGACTGATCCAAATATTTGTTTCCTATTTATCTAATTTTCAGTAACTACTTGACGCAAGAAGCCAAACTTCAGACCCGCTGTCACATTCCATACATGTAACAAGCATTTCGAGCCTATAATAAATCAGGCACCCCAAAATAAAACTCATCTTATAAACTCGGTGTTTATCTCGTCAATTCGATGTTCATCACATAAATTCGATGTTTTTCTCATCAACTTATCAAGAACGACATTTTTGAGGACAGGTTGCCAGCACAATCCCATTATGAGCGAAATTCATCAATATTCCAGCGTCTTGGCAGCCCTCGCGCCCAGTCAGCATCGCGATGGATTAACGACATCTACCGCGGTTGACAAATGAGATGTGCACCGCCACAGAGCTCTTATAAATTCGTCCGTCACCCGCAAATAATGAGTCGCCGACTGAATGATTAGTCGACACCTCGGTTTGGGGGAAACAAGCTTGATTTAGACAAGGTTTTGATTTTTTATTTCCTTAAAAGTACCTATTTTTAAGACTTGATGTCTGGCCACCTGGACTAGGTATGTAGTTTTCATTTATAAATAATAAAGTAGTCTCTTGTACTTTTCGACCAGGTTTCTTAGTAAGTTTTGCAAATAACTCTATACAGATGAAAACTGATTCTTGGTCTTTCTCCAACACCCTTTACATCATGGGCTAACTAAATTATAATAATAATTTATTTATAATAAAGAACATTTAAACTCTGTTCAAGGAATAAAAGATTTTCATTCTATTGAGATGTCTATCCATACTATCGCAGACGGCTGATTTATTGCTAAAACTATTTTTTCTCGGACTTCATTCATGTAATGGAGAAGTTTTGAGGTCGTTATAGGGGTCGGAAAATGTATTAAACTTAGTACACAATAAAGTAGGGTTGCATTCGTTTTCTCAGCTGTCTCGATAGACTGATTTATAGTCCGAGGTTGGTAACTTAACTAGCTAACTAGGTAAAAAAATTCCTTATAAATTCATCACCTGTCACCTTATTGGAGGCAGTTTAACAATTCACGTCATATGACTGAATTAAACAATGAAGATGAACATAAAGAAATATTTTATTTTGCATTTAAGAAAAATATAGCAAGGCATTTTACAGAAAATAACAATAGTTCATTTTTAAAATAGCATAACATAATATCATCCACTACAGGTAGGTTGTCAAAAAGCTTTTAAACACTTCCATAACTTATAACACGAAACGTTATAAATTAAATTCTTTGTCACATATCAGACTTTCCTGCGTATGACAAACGTGGCAATATTTTACTTACAATTCGCAGGTTTATATTCACATTAGTTCAGTGCGACACAACGAGAAATTCATACTAACGTGTTATTTCTAATATTTCTCGCTTTAAAAGCGAATAACACCGCGACAAGTGTCAAAGGCAGGCGCACAAACATACATGGATCACATACGAATCCTGCAACACACAAAATAAACTTTGTCGAGATTCTTACAAGGTCGAAATTGGTACACAACACAATCCGCGGAATTTCAATATTTCATTTGGCGCAACATGCATTTCTTTACCAGCGAAATATTATTATGCTAATCAAATATATGCTATGACTACAAGCGGTACGGTCCAATTCACTTTGGCGTCGCAAATGAAATCAAATTACTTGACGCTCTTTCGGAAAAGTGTTTTTTGAAGTCGGACGATTGTAAGATTTATTCGATGGAAATGTTTTGAAACGAGAAACGCTAACGTAAGACGTAATTCCGCTGACTGGAACCTTCGGTTTATTGTAGAAGAGAAATTGTGTATGAAAAATGGATGATAAAATCTCTCCCTAAACGATTTTAGCCATCGAAGCTTGAGTTATGATTATTCTGCTTCATTTTCTCTCGGTAGGCACGGTTATTCTTTGCTCTGCGTCAATGAGGTGTCTAATCCAAATAAAATGATATTATGCCAAAAATATTACCGATTTTTTGCAAGCGTAGTGTATTGCTGAATCGAAACATAAAAATTTTCTTCCTTTTAATCGCTAATACTGCATGTTGGGTAAAGACGAATACGGAGTTTCGGGAAAAGCTCTATTGCTATCTTGTATAAAGCAAAGCTCTTTTTATGTGTTTAAACTGAAACTCAAGTGGCAGTGGGCGGGGCACATAATGTAGCTCGCAGAGCTGATGGCCGCTAGGGCAGAAAAGTTCTCGAAGACGTAGTGTGGGCAGGCCTCCCACTAGGTGGACCGACGATCTGGTGAACGTCCCGAGAGTTTCCTAAATGCGGGCGGCGCAGGACCGATCTTTGTGGAAATCCTTGGGGGAGGCCTTTGTCCAGCAGTGGACATCATTTGGTAGAAACGAACGAAACTGAAACTA